GGCTAGAAGCGAGGAGGACTTCATGGCCGCGCTGCAGCAGACCATCCCCGGCTTCAGCAACACAGACGCGACCGCCAGGCATTACATTCCACGTACCACACTGAGGCGATGGTATCGAGTCACAGGTCAGGACTACTTCAGCGACCGACAGGAGTTGGAGCAACCGGAGACCTGGGAGTCGGAGTTCGAGCGGACGTTTTGCATCACGTTCGCGAAGCCGGAGATGCGATACAGTGCAGTCGACCCAGATGACGAAGTGGATCAGTGGCTCGTCCGAGGCTCCTGGACCTTCTGCCCAAAGTGTGGGCGTCGCCGACCTCAGTGCAACGTTGCCAGTTTGACCCTCCAACGCGCGGACAAGACATGTCGCTACCGATGTGATCCCGAACCTGAAGACCTCCTGTTGCCGCGGACGGAGTCCGACCTTGGGAGACATTGCAAGCTGGACGCCTACGTTACACCGAATGCCCACCATTGGGAGCATTTGCTGGCAGACCTTCACGTCACAGGACTGCCGTTGGTGCCCGGTCTTACCAAAAAGGATCTCGACACCCTGGCTGTTTTGGATTTGAAGATTGACTATCAAACCCGCCGGGGCGGCAACGCCGAGATCACAAGCAAGCAGAAAAAGTCTGTTATTCGTGGCCGCTGGAAAGCATTGCCTTTGTTCGACATCCAGCGATCAGACCAGGCCAATCGACTCTTCTTTTGGCTGCTGGCAAACAACGAGACCTACGCGAACTGGGTCCAGTTCCACAAGCAGCTCGCGATTAGCAACGACAACTGCAGCGGTCCATGGCAGGAGGTGCGAACCGCAGATTTGCTGTTGAATTCCCCGGGCATCGAGGTTGCTGCCAGACCGTGGCTGTACCCGCTCGCGAGCTTCGGCGATACAGACCTGTCATCGCGCTTGATGCCGCTGAAATGGATAGCGGCAGGCTCTCGCCCGTCCCTGCGGGCAAGTTTCCTGCGCAAGCTGATGAGCAGGTGCATCGATTACAGCCGTGATTTTGCATTGAAGTCGCTCTTATATGACAGCGCCATGGCCCGAACGATCACCTCCCTCATCAGCGTTGCCAATCAAAGGAACATCGCCCCGGAGTTTGCCGCTCAGCAGCAGGACATGTTTGAGGGCTACTGGCTGCTCCAGCTCAGGAAAATGGAGGATATTTGTCGCCGGGAGTACGAGAGCACAGACGACCTCGCCAAGACGTTTCCCAATATCTTCTTCACTGTGGCTCCAGCCGAGTGGCGCTATCTGTTGCCGGAGGGCCTGACGTTGGACGATTCACTATCTGAGCAGCAGGACTTGATTACGCTGCATATGCATCATACACTACGAGTCCTCTTAGAGCATCAGCTGATCAATCACTCGGACAATCTCCGGGCCATCGGCATCGCAAACATTCGTCATTGGAGCTTCCGGTTTGAGTTCCAAGCGAGGGGCACCATCCATCTGCACGCCGTCTTGTGGACGGATCTGCAGCCGGGCTGGTCTGCGAACGACATCACCGCCCGCACAGGCGGCACCGCTACCCCCTTCCTTGGACTGCTGGAGAAGCTGTTCAAATCCCGCGCGGACGTTCAGTGCGGCGACGGCACGCATTGCTTGATGCAGTATGTCGCCGGCTACCTGCTAAAGGCCTCGGATGCGCTCCAGTTCCTCAGCAAGCAAGTCGACGACCAGGACACGCAATGGCGCCAGGCCTACCGCTTGCTCTGCAAGCGCTCGCCCACCGAGCAAGAAATCATCATGGAGTTCGCGGGCCTCTCGATGGTAAAACATTCCTTCAGTGGCGTTGACATTTTCGCCCCCATCCCCGGCAGCACAGCCTCCAACAACTCGCGGCGGCAGTACAACGCCTATCAGCATCACCTGAAGCAGACGGAGGGCGACTTCGGCGATGCGCGCGAGTTGACCTTCATCCAGTGGCTGCGCATCTACCAGCTGCCTGCAGACGCTCCAGACAGCAGCGCAGTCCAGCGTCGAAATCAACATGGACCGGCGGCGGGCAAGCCATGTGGCGTGGCCATGTCCTTTCCGTTTGAATTGTTGGACATATATGTGGGCGCTTGGGCAGCATGCTGTCTGCCAGGCATGTTGGAGGAGCGTCTCCTGCCTGTCGTGCCCGACACACTCAAGCTCCCTGGTTTGGAGGACGAGCTGGCACGGCGTCGAACCTTCACAGCTCCTTGCATGTGTCACCATTTGAAGGCCGTGCTCTCTTTGGACGAATTTCAGTTGGACGGGGCCGACCCGCAGGTTTACAACCCAGATCTCGCGAGATTTTTCGCCAAAGTCGAGCCCGAGCTCATGCTGCGCGGGATCAATGCGGACCGCATCTCCACCTTCAAGGCCAAGATTCAAGCAACGAACCTACTTCTCCTGCGCATTCGAGACGGTCTTGAAGATGCCGGGTTCTGGACGGCGCGAGATCTACCTGGCTACCCTCGGCGTCAATGGTCTCCCGAGCAAGGCGCCGTCATGGAATGGATGCGAGATCGCTTGGGCGTCAACGACGCCAACGACAGCCGCAACCGCGTGCTACAGATTTCCGGACCTCCAGGCACCGGAAAAACTGAGGTCGTCATCGGCGCAACAAAGCTCGCTTTGGACGACGACTGTCGCGTCCTGGTTGCCGGACCGATCGGTCTCCTAGTGGCCATGTACCGTCTGAAGCTTCCAGCAGATGAACGCCTGACCATGGAGACCATCCACTCCGCCTTCAAGATTACACGGCCGGCAGATGCAGCCTACATCCCGCCAGGTCGACTACGTCGCTACGACGTTATTATCTTCGATGAAGTCTCTCAGATCGACCCAGCTGTATGGACCGATCTCAAAGCAGCACTTGGTGAACTTCACCCTGGGCCACTGATCCTCTTCGTGGGCGACTTCCAGCAGCTGCAGCCGGTCCACGGCAAACCACAACTCCAAATCGATCTCGACGCGGAGGTCGCCAACGGCACGGTCGATCGTATTGACTTGAAGAACCACAATCTAGCCAGATCCATCGATCCTGACATGCTCGACTTCCTGACGACAGTGAGAGAGGCACAACCAACTAGAACACAGCTAGAAGAGTTCTTTGCAGGAAGAGTTTGGAGCAGGGATTTGTCCGAGATCGCAGAGAAAGCCAAAACCTGGGAGGACGTCACAGGCAAGAAGTTCATGTTCCTCACTGTCGTGAACAAAGGTGCAGCGGATATCAACNNGGGCTCGCCTGGCCACCGAATTTCCGCAGGAGTCACAGCTCCTAGCCGAGGGCGCCGGCATCCCAGCGGAAACCGGACGTGTTGTTGTCAGTGCAGGCATGAGGGTCCGGCTGACCTACAACGTAAACAAGCAGGACGGCTTCGTCAACGGCAATACCGGAACCGTGCGACTTGTGCTGAGACGCGATGTCTTTGTTATGCAGTCCGCCCAGGGCACTTCCGTGCTGGTGTACCCAATTGCTCTTCGAGGCCGGAAGTTTCTGCCTGTGGCCTACGGCTACGCCACCACCATGCGCAGGGCACAGGGAGCGACTTTAGACGGCGTCGGTCTGTACTTTGACAGGCGGCTTCCGGATCGTGGGTATGCCTACGTGGGCCTCTCTCGAGCCAAAGTCCGGACATCCGTGTTCCACGTGGGAAAGCTTCGCCAGACAGACTGGTTGCCCGTGGGCACGCCGAGAGACGACGAACACACTCGCTGTTCAGCTCTGAGCGAATCAACTGACAACGAGCAAGAAGAGTCCTCCCAGCTGCTTTCCTGCAGCTCAGAGCCGTCAAGCGGCGACTTCGATCGATCATCTGACGCGTAGTAGTCGAGCAGATCACCCGAAAGCTGCCAATTGCACAGTCAATTGTCTGACAAGAACAGAAACTATTGCTGCTCGGAGCAAAATCGTACTTGTGTCACTGCGCCAGGTGTAGTCATGTCCGCAGTTCAAGACAGCTGTTCATGAGCTTATCCCCTCCCCACCCTCAAACACAAGTTCTGACTTCATGGTTGCATGCCGCAGCAACAATGCAATTCGTGTCAGTTTCAACTTTTCGATGCTTGAGTCATGATTGGAATGCCAAGGCCATCGATGCCTCGCCACATGCCTCGTCGCGGTGTGCGAGCTTGTCGAGTCCTCAGACGCGTCCAGTTTCTCCCCTCCCCACCCTCGAACACAATTCCTGACTCAGATACAGCCTGCAAGCGTTCGAACTAAAGCTACGGCTCGGCTAGAGCTAAGGCCAAGCTTGTCAAGTCCTCAGACGCGTCCAGCTTCTCCCCTCCCCACCCTCGAACACAATTCCTGACTCAGATACGGCCTAGCACCTGCGAGCGTTCAGACTAAAGCTACGGCTCGGCTGGCTGGGGCTGGCGCTGAGGCTCTGGCTGGGGCTTGGATTTTGCCATGAACTGCGAACCAAAGATTTGCGTTAAACGAAATGCCTTAAACCAGATTTGCCTTAAACCACGAAGGATTTGCCCAAAACC